CCACACTAGTGTGCATTAGATGCATAGATAATACCACTAAGTAGATCCGAAAACACAATGTTCATGATCAAGGAAAGCACGATTGCATTACCCGTTTTCAGATTGAAACGAATCCTTTTTGCATGTCCCAAGCACAAACCCTAGCTTCCTCTTAGCTTGTAACGCAATTCGCATTGAACGACGCCACAACCCATAATTTTCTGAACCTGTGAGGTTTACAGGAATCAAAATTGAGCTAGGAGTGTCTGAGGGGTGAACAAGCAAAGGATGCGTGTGAAGAAGACGATCGTCAGTTGCAGCTTCGCGAAGAAGACGACAATGAGATTTCAGCTGAATTGAACAAAATTTTGCTAAATTACAGCTCTTCACGGCTCTGATACCATGTGAGCTTGGTGAATCTGAGCTCAATCTCTAGATTCACACAAGCAACTGTGATTAGATCTTAAATGGAAGAGATGAACTCGAGAGAAGAAGGGAATTGCAGAAGAGAGAAAATGAATTCTGTATATGTAAATGAAAAGTTACAAACTTATTTATACTCAACTATGTACTAACTTAGCCCCAACCACTTAACTACTGGGCCCCACACATAACCGACTAACTAACCAAACTGTTAATTAACTAACAACCTGATTAACAGACTAGCTACAATTAACATATTAACTGCATAATAGTTCACAATTGATCAATATAAGATGTCAGCTGATCAATAGCAGAGGTGGATCCAGGATTTTGGCAGAATGCGTGCACTATTAAAATGAGGTGGATCCAGAATATAAATTTTACGGGTTCAACCTTTAGTTCTTACGATTGCGTACCCATTGCACTTTTGGAATTATAAGTTCAAAATTATTATATTTAAAAATAGTAATGTTCTTACATCTATATCTATTTTTCATGTTGAAAATATTGAGATCAGTTGAATCTATTGACTATATACTACATTATACACTACTACTATTTTTAATATACACATTTTTTTTAATCATATAAGATTTTACAGCGACAAAAGAAGAATAGGAATTTCATTGTGTGAAAATTTTGAAAGAATAAATCAAACAAAAAAAGAAATAAAAATAAAAAGTACTTAATTAATACATAAAAAAATAACACCAGACACGCCCATCTCCCGTGGTGGGCGTCTACTTCTAGAAAAAAAAAAAGGAAAAAAAATAACAAGATTGACATAAGATTTAAACTCACAATCTCACCTAGAGAGGTACACCCAATAACCATCACATCATATAATAATTTGAGCATGGGTGCACACGCATATATTTAAATATTTTTGAAAAAAATATTACATTACTATACATGATTTAGGACGGAAAGCACGGGTTCACGTGCTCCATGAAACCCCTGGATACGCCCCTGATCAATAGAGTTACATGTCTCAAACAACAACCACACAAGAAAGAAGACCTCTAGCTAGATGTAGAGAAATAAGACACTAATTAGTAACTAGATACTCATTTCATGTGTACAAAAGAAAATATTAATAGCCATTAAGACATGCCATACTATTTCACTAGCTAATACGTTGAACTTCCCAACAAACTATTTGACCGTGGTTGAACTTTCTTGCCGCGATTATTTAACAAAAGAAGGAAAGCAAAAACAGTTGCGCAAAAGTACGGGAATGACTTAGAGGGTGTTCGGCTAAGCTTATAAGCGGGTGAAACTAGCTTATAAGCACTGTCGGCTTATCTACGCGTTTGGTAAAGTTAAAAGTGCTTATAAGCCTAGTGTTTATAAGTCAAAAATAAGCCAAAAGTCATAAGCTGGTCACCCCCAACTTATGAATTTTTAGCTTATCAGTACTTTAAGTTTGACCAAGATTTTTACTATTTTATCCTTAAAATATTTCTTTGTAGAACAAAACTCCTGCATCGATACTCACTGCCTCAAGTATTCAACCTAAACCAGCCCCTACCCCCCCCCCCCCCGGTCAAGTCTGCAATTGTCATTGACTATTTAAGATATGCAAATTCTCTATTCCTTTGCATATTTATATCTATGTGATTGTGTATTAATCTTTGAACGGTATGTAATAAATGAGGACATATCAAATTTGTGGTGTATTGCTTTCTAAGTGTTGTGGTGATGAAGACAATGTTTGTTTCTCTTCAAATATTTTGTTCAATTTAGGTTTATTTTTTACTGAGAAACTTTTGTCAATTTATTAATTATTACTAACTTATGATTATATGCTTATCATAAAATAAATTATATTTATCAGAAATTATCTTATCTAAGCACAATTGTACTTAAAATAAAATGACAAATAGAATATTTTGTATTTGAATCGATCTGGAATCTAAAATTTTGAAGAAATTACGCTTATCAATACTTTTTTATCAAATATCGTAGCAACTTATTATCTATTTCAGCACTTGTACCCAAATACGTAACTGCTTATTTATTAAATCAGTTTCAGCACTTAAAAGTGTTTTTCAACACCTAATGCTTATCAGCTACTTCAAATCAACTAATCCAAACGGACTCTTATTCGGCGTTAATCACTATAGGTAAAAGAAATTATGAAAAGTCTCGCAACAGAATGTATATATAGCCATAACATAATAATTTCAACCAACGCGTTTTGGATTTTAAAGACTTGGAACTTCTTATGCTGAACCAACGCGTTTTGATTTTAAAGACTTGGAACTTCTTATGCTGGTTGCAGCTCTGAATTTATGCCTGCAATGATGATTTATTAACCAAGTAAAATTACAGTTAGTAAACTGTTTTTTGGTTGAAAAAGATGAAAGATGAGATAATTAAAAGGCCAAAATGTTCTTGCCTTGCCAGAAATATTATTTGATAACCAATCAAGACCTTCATAAAGCCCCTGTCCAGATGTTGACAAGCACTCTGGATATACCTAAAAGATGAGAAGCATTTATTACCTATTTTTTCCAATTTCACCCTTGCTGGTCCAATTTTAATTAACCGAGACATTTAAGAAAAATATAAATAAGGCTATGAAATATCCTTTTTAAGCAAATGCAGGCCAAGTTTATCAGTGATTTCTGAAACACTCATAGCATCTGGAAGGTCTTGTTTATTGGCGAAAATAAGAATATTGGCGCCTCGTAATTCTTTCTGCATAAACCATCATTAGTTTCAGCTAACTTAAATTTGATACTTGTAATTTGTACAATCAGACCTCTTTATAACAGCATTCTTATATAACAACACTTCACTATAAAAGCCAAGCTTTTCCGAAACCAATTTTCATGTTATGGTATAATATATATTCTCTATAAAAATAATTCGCTATAATATCCAAAAATATTCGAAACTAACGAGGCTCTTATAGAGAAATTTAATTGTACATCACCTTTGATATTACCTCGATAAGCATGCAATGGAGCTCATCTCTGGCTTCTGTAATTCTATCTCTATCATTACTGTCTACCACAAAAATTAGAGCCTATGTGTTCTGAGAATTGTGCCTCCATAGACGTCAGTGCGTCCATAGAGGCCGGATCTATAAAATTAGTGCAACAAAAAGTTATAAAATAGGCGAAGACAAATCCAGAATTTAAAGATTATGAATTTTTATTATAATATTAAATTAATACAATAATAACTGAGTTCATGATTAAATATATATATATATTGTGGATTTCTTAATAGAAAAACACGCAAAAGTGAAATAGAGATTTCAATTGAGAAAGTAATGGGCTTTGATTGGATCTTTCGAGTATTGAATACCTTAATTATGTTGTCCACCCACATCCCATATTGACTAGGTATTTTAACTTGTACAAGATAGTTGTTTTGGCAGATGCATCGAGTCCGACCATTAGTATTCTCATTTCTTTCTTTACAATTACAAAAAGCATTTTTACAAACTTGGATATTGACATACCCATTTTGCAAAGAGACGCTAATATATAGTCTAATACTCACCAAATTTTCTGAATACAAATAGTGAAACGCATTTTCCGAAACTTAAAAGGGAAAGTGATAAGGTTTGACGCCATCTTAATTAGTCCGTTTACGATTTGATTGGTACGTTTTGCAAAACAAGGTTCCTTTTCAAGCTTGCAAATTTCTTTTAACCTTAGCCACTAAGATTAAGTACTTACCCTTAAAGTTGTTGACACAAAAACTGAGCTAATTTTGAAATATTCTTAATTTAAATTCAATTTCAGTATAAATTCATTTATGTTTCAGTTTATTTGAAAGTTGTAAATTTATCAGATAAGATTATTTCAGTTAAACATTGAGATATTGAAAAATTATGTGGCAATTGAAACACTTGTCAAATAAGATTATTACTTAGCAATTGAAAATTAGAGCTGTTCCCAGATTCAGAAAATGGATTGTGAATTACAGGAGATAAATATAAAGAACTAGCCATGCATGTCTTCTCCATCTAGGCATCTCTGACAACATAATTAGAAAATCATGCTTTTCTGAGATTGCAAATAAAGGAGGCTTTGACTTTATTTACGTTCCTGGAAATGGTTGCTAAATACAGTACAAGAAATTATTCATATGTTCAGATATGCACATACTGTTTAAGCTCAACGAAGCCTTGCAAATCCAACATGGCGGAAGGAAAGCTGCAATCTTTGTAGCTATAAGAAAAATTACTGTATATAGTATGAGACAACATTGTAATTTACTTGGTCAAATTCCAAGTGTTTTTAAGTGGAGTAATAAAACGCAATAAGTTGGGTTAGACGACTAACTTATAAGTTTTAGCTTTTTTTTTTTAAATATATCTTCTAAATACAGAAATAAAAGCTACTTATAAAAGTGCTTTTAAGTCAACCCAAATACCTTCTAAATAGACGCAATTTCGATCTTGCAGGAACTATCGGTGTATGTTTGATCATGAGAATGGGAAAGAATTAGGACAATATGTGAAAATGAAAGGACGGGACGGGAAAGAAAAAAGATTAACGGAACTTACAAATCTGATTTGGAAATCATGCTATACTTTCTGTTTATTAAAATCGACCAATAATAATTATTAAGATGAATATTCAAAATTTAGCCAAATATTTACTACAACAGACAGAGTGTACTAGACAATATTACTAGTAGATGAATCGTCAAGACGAACAATTAACTGATACATCATACCAGTAGGTTAGAACACATGCTATGTTCCCTTTGGAGGGTTCGCCTAGAAATAAAGAAATTATTCACACAACATATTATGTAGCTATTTTCGTGAAATAGCTCTCTTGGCAGACTCAAGGGTGGATGCCACAGATGCAGCAGCATTAGCTAATACACCACCACTAGTGTTTGAGACGGGGGTGCTGCTAATATGTGGCTGGTGAATTACTTCCACAGGCCTTTGTTCTTGCATTTGCCCCACCGACGATTGATAATCCAGACTCTCCACCCTTCTTTCTGTTCGGTTTTGTGCATTCACATCCTGTGTACCCTGTCATTAAAAATCGTTAAATAGGAATTTAATTTCAACAAAGATTGATTCGGTCCTTCAAAACATACCTTATTGGCTGATGAATTCATATTGCAGCTCTCTCAGATTTCTTATTCTGGATAAATCGTAGTACTAGCTAATATTCCAAATTGTAAATCTGGATTTATAACATAACAATGATTTTTAAGTATATTACCAAGTGACATCCTAACTTTAAGGCCGTCCAAAATGCGAACTGGTGGTTAGCCAGAGATTGGAAGCGAACACTTCGTTTCAGTTGCGGACAGATTTTTTTCAATTCTATTCTACTTTTTCGGAGTAATAAATTATATGTCACTGTTTTTTGCTAACAAAAAGATTATATTAATCACCAATGCAACATTACAAATCCACAACAGTCTTTAACACAGTCAGTTGTCTCACATGTATCTATCTATCCAAACCTGTACAAGAAAATATTATATGTCACTTTTGTTTTATGAAGGAAAAAATAATCCGCTGGCTCCAATTTTGGGGGGTAAGGCTTCAAAGTCTCGATTAAAAACAAAAGTGTACCGTGTCATCAACTTCAACTCTTAATTCACCATTCATGCACTTTATGTGTTTAAGATTCATGGCTTAATGAATTTCCCAAGAAAGGCTCCGCCATGTTATCATTGTAATGCAACACAAGCAAGCATATTATGCACACACATAATTAGATCCTCAACACGTGCATGTCTCATTACTTTTCCTAGGCCAAGTCAATTTTTGTGAAGCCTTGGATTAAGATTTTCATTAAATGGTAGATACCATCTCAACTAAAAGTTCAAACAATTGGCAAACATGTAACACATTTATTTAATTTATTAAATCTTCAGAATACCAAAATTCCAACTCGTGCTAATAAAACAATTAAGCTAAAGATCAATTCGATTCGAATTCAGGATTTTATTGTCCACACTAAGTTGTATGAATGAGCGTAATATTTTACCTCATGTGCGGTTTCAAGAAAAATTACAGAATCAAACCCAAAACCAACTTTAGAATCGACTAAACCACAGCAATCATCATAAGCAGAATAATCCAAGGTCTTGCATTACGACAAATGACTACAGAGCAACCAGTACAGTTGCCAATACTTGCTATAGGACAGAGATGACGATCAGGCAATGTTGTACAATCAAGCCAAACAGACGAACCAGATGGGTTCTGACATACTCTAATGTCTGTACTAGTAGAATTCCTCGAACTGTATTGCTTGGAAATGAAGTATGCTTTGAGAACATATAACTAGAGTAGCAAAGACGGTGGCAGGAATTATTCGACAACCCAGGTAGAACAAGTCATTTATCCAGGAGACAAAACATTGGTCAATATGTCACAAGTGATCCACTGGAATGGACATCAGAAGCATCAGACATCCTTTGCTTGGGAGACAAAGTGTTGCTGGCAGCAATGTCAACGTCAATATTGACAATGTTTTTTCTCTTTTGAGTGTCTACCCTCAGCCGTTCTTCTGCCTCTTCAGATGTGCAACTTAACGTCTCTACTTGCTGGTGTTGCTCAGATATCATAGCTTCAGCGTCTGTGACAAGTGACGCATCATCATCCATAGCATACAGAATCCTCTTCACTGCTTCAACCACCTATAAATGTGATATAACCAAAAATGAATATGCTTAGGTTGCTGCTATAAAAATTGTACTAATTTTTCAGATAAGAGAATAGAAAGATTGGGTACAGGGAGGTTTTCAATCTCTGGACACTGGCACAGGATCTCGATGTCCCTCAGCTTTGCAAAATAGAAGTCCCTTTCCTTTTCAAGACTATCCACTGATAACTTCAATTCCGTAATCTGCATTGAATTTAGTAATTAGCCTTCAGTCGTTCAAACAAAACCATCTCTGATCTTTTAGTACTACCTGTTGTTCATGTGCAGTACGATCTGTTTCAGAATAGGTTGACGCTCCTCCACTCGAAGAAGGTCTGGACACCTTACCAGATTGATTTGTGCTGCTTACATGAGGTACATCATTTCTTCTAGCATTATGAGGGGCATGCTTTGGAGCGGTTGAGGCATTTTTGGCTGCAGTATGTGAAGTAACAGATCTTTTGTTCACTTCTTTTGCACCCTTGCAAGCTTCCCTTCTCTCAAGAGGATTGTAGCTGACATTGATATAAAGAAACAACAGCTCTCCATTAGGCAAATTTCTATGTCATTTTGGTAATTGAAAAAAAAGGTATAACCTCAAGTAAACACATGCTTCTTTACAACTTCAAGTCAGTAAAAGATGGCATCCTTAAGGTCGGCCAACTTAAAGATAGACAACTTCCAAAAGTATAATATTGAATAATCCTAAACACATTGCAGGCAGAACCCATAATACGAAAGGTCATACAGTTATTTTACACAAGTAGCATCACTAGACTACCTTGCAATTCATACAGTAAATCAACCAACTATGAACTATTCTTCAATTCAAAACTAGTTGGGGTTAGTTCAACAAAACCTCTATATCTATTCTGCCTTATTTGAGTACATTTTCAAAACCACTTGCCCATTTAACACTATACCTGAGTGGTGGTGTAACAAATGGGAGCAGAACCCGACACATTTTATCATAAAGATTCATTATAATTTAACTATTCTTATCCTAGGTGTCAACATAACATAACCTTTCACATTTATTCGGACTTAGGACGTACCATGGTTTGCAAGCAGAGGTGAGATAGAAATTCTTGTATATGTCAAGTTAAAATCCGTGAAGACTATACTACAATTCCGTCTCCACCCTAAATGTGGCCAACGTCTGTGCGGAATAACAACAAAGTGAAATGGAGATAAAGAAAAAACAGATCATTAATTGAGAACTTCTGACTCGTAAGAGTTGAATATGGAGATTCTGGCTTCTTGTGGGAACTAGTAAAGATTCTCTAGAAACAAGGATGACGAATGTGGTTAATTATAAAGAATAAAAAAGAAATCAGAACACTGCTGCTACAATATCTCCCAGCAAATCACGAGTAGATACTAACCAGTCCAAACTGTATATTCTTTCGTTGTAGAATTGGGGTGTCAATCAAAACACTGACTGGTTGGAAGAGTGATAAAACCAAGTGAGTAAGTGAGTTATGATGGATGTAGCCTAAATCCACCAATCCAAAAGATTGGGTCAGTTTGGACAACATTACTACTAGAAAAATCAACACATTAGAGTGCTTTATCAAAATAAAATAGAAAAAATAGAAAAAATGAAAAAATGAAAACAAAAGAGTGAAAGATATAGCCCTAATCAGCGGGTTAAAGCTTCTACACGGTAATTTAACGGCTCCATTGCATAGCTGGAAACTAAGAAAATTGAAAAAACAGAACAAATCAAGACAAAACAACTGAATTTCGAGTATACGACCTGCAACACATTCCATTTTAACCCAAGCAAATATTGGAAGTTTGTTTCGTAACTTTTCGTGGTTTTGACTCATTTTCACTCTACAAAATTGACACAATTTACCTATTCAATACTCCTAGGTATTATACTCAGCTCTCTTTGCTTAACATTTTCTTTCTTGTGTCTCATTCAATGCACAATATCTGTGCCCTAACTTCCAGTTTTTTCCCCTTTTCCATTATAAAAGGAAATTATGTCTCAGCAGAAACATACACATACCATAAGTAAAGGTTGTTAAAGGAATTAAATCAAATACAAAGCAAAAACAGAGGTTGAAAAGGTTACTTGTGTGAATTGCCTCGATTAACAGAATCACAGTATCTCTTCAACCATTGCATGAACTCCAGATTGTCAAGAGGTCTTCCTTTCACCAGTTTGTTGACCTCAATGTGCTAATACCACAAGCACATAATTAAACAACAATTGACTATTAAATAAAATAGCAATCTGGAAAATGATTTTCACAAAAGGTAAATGAGGATAAAACTGAATCTAGGAAAAGGAAACTTTAAAATAGAATAAACCTTGGTAATTTTGAGTTTGTTGAAAACATCTTGAAGAACCTTATAGTTCTGGATCATCTCATATTCATTTTTAGCGTCGAAATTGACCTTGTGCATAGGGACTAGCCCTGGGTGAGCGGCATCCATCAGCTGGCAATGAACGGCACCACCACACGCCTGTGCGTGAATCGAAAGTGTATCAATTTGAAAAAGTGAATTGGGAATTAGCATTTCAACAACTAATGAAGGAGAGCAGGAAAAAGGAGAGATTGAATACCTCTTCGACTTTGGAAAGATTAAGGTGAAGTGTGGAATTGATCCATGCAAGGATCTCTGATCTGCCGACGAAGTATGCCGCATCCATCATTCCTATGTGTGCTGCCATTTCTGCTTCAACTTTCTGTGTAGAAGGCTCCGTAGAGAGAGAAATAGAGAGAGAATGAGAGAATTTGAAATGAGGGTTTGAGCGGGATTTCTTTCCCTGCTTTAGATTTCAATGGAAAAGGGTCGGTGATATGTGGTTTCGGATCGTCACCAAATGGGCCAATTTCAGGGAGGCCCAAACTTGATGACCCAAGTACATGCTTCCTTTCCCTTTACCAAAGAGATATGAAAATTGAAGAATTTTCAGTAACCACTATTGTTTGGTGCTATTAACTTTTTGTAGCTACTATATACATTATTACTTCCTATAATTACTATTCAGCTGTTATGGTAGTGTATTTGCTGTATTTGCGTTGTTGTATTCATGAATACAACAGCAAAAAGCACATTAAAATCAGGGTAGTCCAGCTGTACGCGCATGTATTCATATGTATTCGCGCCATGTATTCATGAATACAGCAGCAAGAAGCGCCTAAAATCAGGGCAATCCAGTTGTACGTGCATGTATTCACTTGTATTCGCGCCATGTATTCATGAATACAACATCAAAAAGCGCCTAAAATCAGGGCAATCCAGCTGTACGCGCATGTATTCACATGTATTCATGAATACAACAGCAAAAAGCGCCTAAAATCAGAGCAGTCCAACTGTACGCGCATGTATTCATGATACAGGAATTAAATGCGCCTAAAATCAGGGCAGTCCAGCCGTACGTGCATGTATTCACATGTATTCGCGCCATGTATTTATGAATACAGTAACGACAATCACCTTAAAAATAGGTATGACCGGTTGTCTAAGAGAGAAGAAAAACATAAATAGCGTATTTCACGCCAGAATGGTAGTATATACCATAAATAC